TCACTAGAGTACATACCAACATCTCATACATTTCAGTAAAACTGATGGAACCCACCGGTAAAGAACAAACCATACAATTAAATATAAAATAATATATATTAGTTGTCAAAACCACAGCTCAGGTTGCTATGCTATTGAATAACGTTCCTGTTAAGAGATATAAATCAATCAAATTATATAGTTAATTCAAAAATGTTGTCTTTGTTGATGGTTTCCGAGGGTTTTTGGAGAGCGCTGATGTTGGTCTGTTAAAGCCAACATTGCACCATGTTCAAAAGACCTGGTAAATACTGCATCCCATGGTCGAAGCACACAGCTTGGCGCCATCCATCAAACTGTCTCTATGAGATTTTCTACAACACGAACACAACAGCGCAGCGGGGCAAGAAGCGCACGTGGAATATAGAAGAGAAGATTTCCAAGATAAATGTACACACAGCATTATATATCTTGTTTATTCAAATTAAAGAATCACCCATCTTTTAATATGTAAGTTCCAATAAGGTAACAATAAGTTAATTTACTTTTATAAACTAAGTTCCATGTTTGATGCTTGTCTTTTTCTAAATTCTTTGTGAAAGAAGAAACATAACTGTACCTGGATTTTCATCTTTTCTCCTATGTTATCATTTCCAATCTTGATTTCCTCAATGTCCTCTGTTTTCACACCTCCAGGCAGCAGCTTAAAAAAGTCTTGTCCACGAACTGAAGAGGAATATATCACTGAAAAGAGAGCTTGTAAGTCCTTGAATATGATCCCGTCCTCCTATATTATCTACAAAATACAAAACAAATTAAGGCTGTCCCCCGAATAAGTCAATTGAAACTCAAATCCTAACAAGTAAAAGAAGACCCATAGCGGGTAGCTGTAAATTTAAAAAAAAGTTCATTCATCTTTTGCAGAAAATGTAAATAATAGTGAGGTCAACAGAGAAGAATAGATTTCACTATAGTAAATTCCTTTTTTAATTATAAAAATCGAATCTTACATGCCTTGTTCTATTATATCAAGTATACTGAAATTCTGAGTTCACCACCATTTTATATACACCTGGAACTCCCTGTTTCAAACCCTAAAATCCATTTAATGACTAATTGAATCAATAACTAAAAATTATACATTAATTGTTATAGTTGGATTAGAAAGGTTCAATGTATCCAGTGGTGCTTAAAGAATACTGATTATTGGGTTGGTAGTTAGTTCTTGGAAAGATGCAGGAAGATCATTTTAATCAATTCATGGTGGGTGTATTGAATAGATGTCAATTCTGATTTAAAAGGCAGCCCTGATGCATTTTTCAAACTTGCACCCACTTGATTTAAGGCTAAGAGTTAAAAAAAAAAAAAAGATGGATGGATGGCTCTGCTATTTGATTGATTTTTCCCACCAATCAAACCATACTATTTAGTCCTGGCTTTTAATGTTTTTAATGGGTGCTTTAATGCATGAAGCACTTTGTTTTGACACCTGTAGCAAAATAAATTCCTTCCTTGCATTTACCTGGTGAATAATGTTTAATACTGATTCAGATTTTTTCTACACGCAAATAAACTGAAATCCTCAACCTGCCACGTTATACTGCACCCAATGTGACAGCTAATTAGGTCTCTTATATTTTGTTTGTATGTATGTTTTATAGAGCATAAAAAAAAGAATTTGCAACAAACAAATGGTGGTCATTTAAGGCCATGAACAGAGTCACTGCTATATATACATATACTGTTTAATCAACTGTTTGCATCAGGTTAAAAACCTTTTCATTCACACCTGATGCTTTTTTAAAGTGTTTGCAGAACAGTGACCCCTGTGGCCACAGGTGGTAAATTACACAATAACAGCACATAAATGTCCCTTAATTTCCCATGATTCTCTTCAGTGAGTTACTATAAAGACATCATCATTAGGTAAGAGAGGAATGGGGCCATGAGCAGGTTTCCCACAGAGGTATGGTTTGTTTGCTTCTTGTTTTACTTTTATGATAGCACCATTAAAAGGTTCATCTGAGATATTTTAAAATGTAGTTTAACAAATACAAATATAAGTTCATCTATCAAAAGCTTTGACGTTAAGGATACGACTAACGATATTCTGCATTTGTCAACAAATCCCACGGAAGACTAAAACCAACAATGAACTGGTTCTAGTTAGTGTTAGTGTAGTGGCTGTAGGGTCATGTTAGTGGGTCGTGCACGTGCTGTAGACAAAGCAGTGTTGAAGTTAAATGCTAACATCAGCATGCTAACATGTTCACAGTGACAATGTTAACATGTTAATGTTTAACAGATACAATGTTAACTATGATCTGAGCCAGATAGCTCCATTGTTAAATACACATGAGTGTGCCACACTGCAGCACTGGGTAACAACAGCCTGCTGCCCCAAATACTCACAAGAGCACCAAATGTGAATTAATCCGCTGCTGAAAATAGTTCCCAATAAATGCACTACTTCTTACTGTTTGAGCATGTTTGTTGAAAGTTACTTTCGACTAACTACCCCAGAACCAAACTCTGTGGACAAACAACCTCCAATCAGGAGCTCAACTAACTGTCAATAAAAAATCATAGTTTCTGAGTGCTGGAGAACTTGCTTCCCGACAAACTAAGAGGTGAAACGTTGTGCAGCAATACATTTCCTATGGTGTTATATTTTCTTTCTCAGAGTTGACGGTATTTCTTTCACATCCTATATCCATATCCTTTATATATATATATATATATATTCTTAATATGTTATTTGGGTTATGTATATATGTTGTATGTTGATTTGGAGTTGTAACGAAAGTAATTCCCCCTGGGATTATTAAAG